TCTTTGGGTCAAGTCATGTCCCAGTGGAGAAAAGCGTTGGTTGAATTTATCCAATGAGTTCAATACCCAAACAAAAAGTTGGAGAGTTTTGTTACTAAAGGGAAATAAGTGAAATACCCTGAACGTGGAAGGGGAACAATCTCCCTCGGTGGACTATATAAAGGTATCGATTCGAAATTCCAATGTAGATCACCCGAAGAAGTGTCGGAGCGTACAATAGCCGAAACGTCGCGAATCTCTATAAAAGGCAGGATGTGTGTGTGTGTGTGTGTGTGTGTGTAACGAATGCACGGCCGCAATTTTCGACGGATTTGCACCAAGATTTACATGCTCCAAGTTAGCGAGAAGGCCAAGACCGACTTTGCATTTCCCAACTCCCATCGACAGTGGAAATAATCAATTTTTTCATGGTTCTACGGCAGTTTTCATGTAGTTTGCGGCCATTTGTAATGGCCAGAGTGAGAGTTCTTTTTTTCGTAACAGATTTAATGTTTAGTATAGAGCTTAGAAAAAAAATGGCAGTGTGAGATAGGCAAGAAGTAAGGCATGTAGCAACATCAGCACGGCAAAGGGCACTCCTTTAAAGGCAAGGAAGGGCAAAAATATTTTAAGTCAAGAGATATCGATTGCTGTATGAGTCGTACGATTTTTGAATCAAGCACGGCCAACGCCGGGCCATGCTGCTAGTATAACAATAAAGATGAGGACAACGGTTCGAACAATATAAATAGTGTAAATAGTAACAATACCTTATCTCAGAAATATAGACAGATCCTGAAGAAAGCCAGAGTGAACAACGACCGAAATGTCGCGAATGTAACAATGAAGTTAAGGATAAAGTTTCAACATACATCATCTCAGAAATATAAACAGATATTAAAGAACTTCTTTATCCCTCTTGTTGACCATTAGTGGAATAAAATCTACGGATTTATTCAATATTTAGAAATTCTTTTGAATGCAGCGAAGAGAGAGAATCTGAGTGGCCAGTGCAAGCAAAAATGGATGACATTGAACTAGAGGAATTGTCTTACAAGGTCAAAAGAACTGCCATAATACTACAACATGTTTTGTAAATAGGAATCGAAAAAGTGGGGAGGAAATGTTTTTGAATTGCATTTTTCGGAATCACTTAGTTGACATCTGATCTTATGCATTGTATCGCGACTGTTGCAAGTAACAGAAGATGTTTAAACAAACTAAAATACATAACAAATTATTTGAGATCCACTATGGCAGATGACAGGTAAGTTGAGTTAGCACTAATGTCTATTGAAAATTCAAATGCTTGATCTCTAGATTTTGAGGAAGTAATGAAAGCATTTGTTGAGACAATAATCTCGAAAAAAAAAAAAGGGATTCTCGTTTATTTTTCGTCTTTAATGTTGAACACGCTAGCAATCAGCAGACAAGGAGACTCAGGTGATAAGTTCAACATTTTTGAAATGTTCTCTTTCACTTGTATTAATGTTTTCTTATGGAAGTCCTCAGCCTACATCCTCACATTCACTGGCATATAGGAAGAATGATACGACATAACAGTTCAGTGCTCTTTTCTCTTTTTAAACGAAATTCTTCCTGTTTCTTAACATCTCCGCCAGCCTTATAATCGACAGACATGTTTCAGAGTACATAAAATACGTCTATATGAGACTTTCACTTCATCCTGCGTAGATAAGTGCTCTGAACAGATTTAAGAACAACAGGTCTCACCACACACACACACACACACCTATATATATATATATATATATATATATATATATATATATATATTAGGTTGGTGCAAAAATAATGACGTAATAATGTCGTTTTTTTGATGTTAAAAAAATACGCCAAAAAAACGACATTATTTCGTGTATTATTTTTGCACCAACCTAATATATATATATATATATATATATATATATATATATATATATATATATATATATATATAATATTTACTTTTATTTTTCGAGAGTCTTTAATAAACTAAATTTCATTTTCGTTTTATTAAGGGATGCAATGTCGGTATGTATGCCATTAAACAACTCTAGAAGAATGCGTATCACTCCAATAGAAAATTGCATACCTGCTCGGTTGATCTTACAGCAACATATGACCACTAGGGCAGGTCGATGTGGAAAACATCGTATTGCACTCAATTTGAAAGTTAGGGTTTGAAATGATTAATAAAATACTTTTTCCAAATCCTTACCATTCTTTGAGGAAACCTGTTTGAAAGTTAAGTTTCGTTTCAACATCGTAGTGTTGTAATTTCATTCCAGTGATCAGTGAAAGAAAGCCTCATAATACAGCCTTATAAAATTGAGTACTACTATATATATCGATTTGGAAACTGTGGTATTGCACTCAATGTAAAAGTTGCGGTTTGACATGATAATGACACAAAATATTGTTTTACAAATCATTACTGTTTTTTCAGGAAACAAGTTTAAAGATTAAATTTAGGTTCAACATCGTAGTGTTGGAATTTCATTCCAGTGATCAGTGAAAGAAAGCCTTATAACAAAGCCTTATAAAATTTATAATTTTCTGTAGCTTTATAAATTTTATCCGGACAAGATGCAAGCCACATGAACATTATCACTAAATCATTGTGTCATCAAATAAGACCTTCATTTACTTCAAAGGGAAATTATACTGAACAATTTTGTTACATTATGGTGTTATACAATGTAGTAGGTTTAGTGCGATTTTCAATAAACAATGCAAATTTAAATCATTTTGTCTTAAAATTTGTGCCCAGGAGTATTATAGTGTTATATAGAGTTGAACACGCTAGCAATCAGCAGACAAGGAGACTCAGGTGATAAGTTCAACACTTCTGAAACTACTTATCAAATATATAAAAAATGCATATTTTGCTTGTTTTGATTCGTAATTAGTATTCTGGTTTGAATCTATTTTCTATTCAATGTATCTAATACAAAAGATATGAACTTTATTTGGATTTATTCTTGAAATAGTAACATTTTGAAGTCCGGAAATTAGTTATTTCTGTACCCTTTTCAGACGATATTTAAAACTAAAAGCTCAATAACTGGTAAAAGCTATGAATCTAATTTTTTAGTGTCATTGCTTATATCATCAAACCCCAGCTTTTACACGAAGTGCAATGTTGATTTACTCAAAAATTGAAAAATTAACCTGCCCTAATGGCCTTTACTGGTTCACACAATCTTACATGTCCGGCGAGAACCCCGATACCGAAACATTTCAAACATCATCAGAGGAGTACGGCATGAGGAAATCTCTTGCTAGACTATGCTCTGCTTTCCCTCCAGAGCCAATGCACTGATTATGAAGGCGGGGGGGGGGTATGCTGATGACAGGTATACATTGTTGGGATGAAAATGACATTGAACAGTAAATCCACATGCTTTTCCAAATATTCCAAGAACTAAAACTGAAGATAAACCTTTCGAAAACATAAACTATGATCAGGAATGGGAATGAAAGCAGTGATAGCACCTACCCTGAATCCATCATAAAAATTCAGGATGTGAAATTAGTAAATACAAAACACTTGAAATAACTCAACGTATGAATCAATTATATTAGGTTTGTGCATAAATAATGTCGTTTTTTTACGTTAAGTTGAACGTCAAAAAACGACATTATTTTTGCACCAACCTAATAGCAAATTTTAGCGTAGGAGATGAGAAAATTGAATATAGAATAGGTCGGCCTCGAGGTGGTGTTTCTCAACACCAAAAGCTGTTACAAAACCATAACATTAACTGAAAACCTCGAGTCCTGTTCTTAAATAGCCGAATAGTGAGATCGGGGCTTTCATATCGATGTTAAGCATGCGGCAATAAACCTTTCAGAAATATTTAAACTATCTCCTGAAAAAGACATCTTTTTTTTTTCAGATCAATGGTTAAAGTGGCTTTCGGCAAGTGAAGCCTGTGGATCATTGCGAATACCATCCTTCTATTCGGTTGGTGCAAAAATAATGACGTAATAATGTCGTTTTTCGACGTTAAAAAATACGTCAAAAAATGACATTATTACGTCATTATTTTTGCACCAACCTAATACTTACCTTGTGGATCGGCGCTACAGAATCACAAACAAAGAACTGTAACAAATAATATCATATGTAATTCGAATAAAAAAAAATAATGACATAACCAAGATGTTGATATTCCACATGTCAAACATCAGTAAACATTTCGTTTGGTATTTTTGTGCATTCTCGTTCAATGGCTGCTCTCAATTCAGCGACTGTTGCAGGTTTCAGATCGTAGACTTTGTCGTTTAAGTATCCCCATAAAAAAATCTAGTGGTGTGAGGTCTGGTGAATCTTCCATGTAAACAAAAAACAGACTATCATTATTGTTTTGTCCTGTATTGTTTAATATATTGTAATGTAATTGTCATCTTTGATAATGGCTTATGTGAGCCGAAAGCTTAGATTGGATTAAAGAAATATGCATCAATATTGTGATTTTCTTTCTTCTTTTAATGATAATGCTATTAAGCTTATCAGACGATATGAAAAGAATTTACATAAAATAAATAGACAAAAGGTGTCTATATTATTTAATGAAACATGCATCAATGAAAAAATGCTACCTAAATATACACAGACACAATATATATATATATATATATATATATATATATATATATATATATATATATATATATATGTCAGAATTGTGCCGTCAGAATTAATCAGGGTAGGCCGCTTGTGACCTTTATACAGTAAATATACAAAAAAGATATTTTGCATTTTATGCATAATAATCAGGAGTAACCTTCATAAATTTGTTAGCTTAAGTGCATATTTTGCCATAGAAGGAAAATGTAGCTGCTGATCTGTTTTATTCAGGGTAGGCACTGCCTACCTTGCCTACATGGATGGCACGGCCCTGATAGATTGATATAGATGTAAAAGTTGGGAAAAAATATATAAACAAGTTTGTGTCGAGCAGGAGATTGTTGAAAATGTTTGTGGCATAAAAATACCTTTTCATTGATGTAACTCCATCTCCAGTCAGTGAGAGAGAGAGAGAGAGAGAGAGAGAGAGAGAGAGAGAGAGAGAGAGAGAGTGTGTGTGTATGTGTGTGTGTAAGAGAGAGAGAGGGCGAGAGAGGGGGAAGGTTAGAGAGAAGAATAGGACGAAAGATAGTACGCAGAGGATGACAGTAGGAAAAAGGTTCATAATTTTAGCTAAAGAGATATATGGAGAGATATTCTTTAGTATAAAATGTAACAACTAGCATACTAACTAAACCCCAATACCTACCCACACCCATTTCATCCTCTCAATTCACAAAATTGAACAAACTCGTTTAAACAAACCGGCATCGGCAACTTAAGCGCTTTTTCTCATTCTGTTTACTGGAAGCCATTGTTGTGGCCATGTTTAACGTCGCTATTGTATTTGGGGTAAATATTTCTGAAAACTGACCGGATCGTTAAACGTCGTTACTCAAAACGTTCCATTTGAATTATTTTAGTGAATAAAATCTAGGAGTGACGAGTTTGGATGGGTAGGAGGTGACGATATAAGCATAATGCAGGCGAATTATTGGCCCTTTCTTTCTTTATTTCTTTCTTTCTTTCTTTCTTTCTTTTAGTTGTTTTTGTTTGAGGTATTTCAGTTTTGATGTTTTCTTTCTTCGTTTATTTTTAACACTATTTTCTTTCTATTCTTCTTTCATATTTTTCTTTCTGTCTTCAAACTGGTTTTGCGGCATGAATTGCTCCATTTCTTCCAAATTTGGTCCATGAAATGAATATAGTCATCAAAGTCACTTTTATTTTTGCCAAGATCTGGACGCAGGGCGTGGTTGATAGCAAAACATGCAAACATGGCGCCAGGGTGAATTTTGGATGCTTCTTGATTCTTTATCGAGAAGAATGCTTGTCTAGAACATTTATTTTTGATCATTTTTTTGCGCATTCTAATTTTGGTGTTTCCTAATTAAACTGAAAATTTATTTTCTATATTAAGCAACAATCACAAGTGATTCACTCGATTTGTACAATGCGAATCATTTTTTTTTCTGTAGGAGTTGAGGTTTTATTCTGTTTTAAGATGCCTTTTCAAACTATAACTTCTTTTTTCGGTTCGTGCATTCAATTTGGAGGTTACTGTGCCTTAAGGGGTAGTAACTCGTTTTTGAAAAAAAAAAATAGTGCGGCTGCAAGCGAAAAACGATTCACGAAAAAGTTAAAATATAATTTTCAATGATAGAAACGAGACAGAAAAAAATAATTGAATGAAAGAAAAACGTTAAGATTAATTTTTAAAAAAAGCCCCAAAAAAACTATGTATGCAAAACTGAAAGAAGGCCAAGAAAGGTACAAGTCGAAGTGGTTTGTCTAAACAAAAAAGATGAGTATGATGACCTGATAATGGAACAATTGTACAAGCTTATTTCCTAATTTCAGATAATGTTTTAGTAATTATTTTCTTACAAGAGAAATATTGGATTATATATTGTATTCTCTTGTGCATAATAAGAGGATTTCTGAATGAAAATTAAAGACAAAAGTGGAGGTCAAGATGGCTGCTGTCGGACGTCCATCTCACTTGTCGTGACATTGTCGGCTGCCTGTATCAATCCACAAGTACGTTTTTAGTTAAATTTACTCAGTTAAAAAAAACAAAAAAAAAACAAACTTTTATTTGAAGCAGCAAGATTGCAAATATACTTAATTAGACCAACAGATAATGAAACACAAAGTAGGCAGGTGTTTATAACAATTGTTTACAAAAGGTATTTGATATAACGGCAATATTTGTTCTTTGGGAATCAGTGTAATTAAACGTCTTTGGTCGAATTTAAAAAACAAATAATTAAAGGAATCCGCAAGATCTGTCATATTTTGATAACATTAATTTTTCAGCAAAGGCTTAACGATTAAATATATTATGTAGTGTTTTTGTGTTTTTTCCGTTTGAAAAATGAGGCGATAATTCTCATGTCGTTGTTTCATATTCCTCTGTTTGTTGACACAAAGTATTCAGTTTGAAGACCGGAGAAAAATAAAACAGTACAAAAATTGATGCGTAAACAAACCTGTTAAAACTATACAGTGTAACCCGGATATAAGAGAAACCCGGATATAAGAGAAACCCGGATATAAGAGAAACCCGGATATAAGAGAGATTTTCTCTGGTCCCAAATTAGAGCCTGTGTTAATGTATATAAAATAGACCAAACCCGGATATAAGAGAAACCCGGATATAAGAGAGATTTTCTCTGGTCCCAAATTAGAGCCTGTGTTAATGTATATAAAATAGACCAAACCCGGATATAAGAGAAACCCGGATATAAGAGAGATTTTCTCTGGTCCCAAATTAGAGCCTGTGTTAATGTATATAAAATAGACCAAACCCGGATATAAGAGAGATTTTCTCTGGTCCCAAATTAGAGCCTGTGTTAATGTATATAAAATAGACCAAACCCGGATATAAGAGAAACCCGGATATAAGAGAAACCCGGATATAAGAGAGATTTTCTCTGGTCCCAAATTAGAACCTGTGATAATGTATATGAAATAGACCAAACCCGGATATAGAGAAACCCGGATATAAGAGACTTCTTCTCCGGTCCCGACAACTCTCTTATATCCGGGTTACACATATATATATATATATATATATATATATATATATATATATATATATATATATTATATACACCTTGGCAATTCTAATTATAAGTCTCAAACTATTATGGTAATTTATGTGGATACGACATTGAGATTGTAATGGTTACTATTAGGTACCTGCTACTCATTTTCAAAAAAATCGAAAAATGCATTTTAAATATCTTAAATGTCTTCTTTAAACTTAAATGCTGGTTCTATTTGAAAGATAATGGCCTAATCTGAATTAAAATACAAAATTAACTTCCATATATAAATAAGTGTTTTAGGCATTTTTAAAACATTGGCACATTTTTTCGTCACTCATTGACTCCTTGATTCAACCGTTGTATATGAAAAATGTAAACAAATTTAAAATCCTCTGTAAAATCCAATATTTGTCCTAGAGATCTTTTAAAGTCGATCAGGAAATAAAGGATTAATTAACTGGATTTTCTAAAAGAAGTTCTTACCTTTTTACTTAAAACAAAGAAAATAATTTCTTTAAACACGTGACTGCTGTTTGTTTCTTTGTTTTTGGGTTTTTTTTTTTTCTGAATGACCCTCACCTTTGAAAATTATAATATGGTAAATACTTAAATTGGTATAATTTTCACCCAGGGAGCTACTACTTGAATGGAAAGGCCCTTGGGTGTGATATCAATTTGCAGTTCCTGTCAACCACTGTGGGTTCTTAATTAGCCAATAGTAATTATTAGATTTAATATAACTTTTATCTTTAATAGGTATTACAGAGACAGGTGTATCGATTGAATTGGACTGTACATTTGAAACAAATTGTTTTTGTGTCATTTTAAGAGTAAGAGCTTAATCATAGGCAATTTGTAGGTCTAAAGCCTTGTTTTCCAGTAATCTTGACCTTATTTGATTTAACCAATAATCATTAAAGAAGACTTCTATAATGTATTCATCTATGGCTTGTACATAGTTTCTTTAAATTTTGTGAATAAAGATGAAGGCATCCTTGAGAACTATTGCTGACTAATGACTAACAGGTGTGGAGAGAAAATTGTTTTCAGCCTTTATAAAAATGCCTTCCAATATGTCTATAACTGAATCATAATTGTTAATAGTCTGTCCTGCTATTTACAGACTGTCTAAAAAAAAAAATGAAAAATGCATTTAAATAACTTAAATGCCTTCTTTGAACTTAAATTTTGGTTCTTTTTGAAAGATAATCGCCTAAAGCTAATCTGAATTAAAATAAATATAAAGATTAACTGGATTTTCTAAAAAAAAAGAAAAAAAAACAGAATGAAAATAACGTTTTATTTATGCATGGTAACATGTATGGTTAAAGGAAAAGATAAAGTGTAATTCCAGCACTTTCCGAAAAAAAAAAAAAAACTTAAAGTAATACGGAAGAAGATAAGTGCAACAATCAAGAATTCATTATTTATCTGTCAATATTTACACTATTTACATTGTCCGGGCTGTTGTCGTCATTTTTATTGTCATATTCACGACGTTTCAGACGTTGTACGCTCCGGCCTTCTTCAAGTGATATACTTTGGAAGGGTTCGGTTCGAAATTCCAACGGATGTCACCTGAAATAAGCCGGGACGTACAACGGCCGAAATGTCGTGAATATGACAATAAAGATGAGGATAACAGTCAGAACAATGTAAAGAGTATAAATTCATTATTTATGTTTAAAAATAAATTTTCTTTAACCTCATATAACCAATAGTTTAAGAATATCATTTTTATTCTATAGGCTTTTATTAAACTTAGTATAATTAATAAATTTGAAATTCTTCACTCAAATAACGTCTTTAGAGATTTTTCTTTCCATAACTGCAAATATATTGGATGAAAACCCCTCAAATTAAAAAGTATACACGAGATATTGTAAGGCGATAAACCATTCCCCCAACTATATTTCCCCAGTGTTTTCTTAATAAAATAACCTAACCAGTAAAAAGTTCATTCATTAATGATGTAACCTAGAGAAGATTACTGAATAGAATAATCTCACGAAGGTTGGTAATGAATGATAATACTTAGGACAAGAGCAACGCATATAAGATTCGCCAGCGGCGCGTAGAAGTAGTAGTCAACTGCTAGAAGTGAGTCAAGTGAATTCCACAATGAATCTTCAACTAGAGGATATCTACCAACCGCAGTCAGATGTGATACAGGGCCGAATTTAATGTGGGGTATTCGAGCCCGTAGGCTCGGCCAAAATTTCCCCGTAGACCTAGTATAAAGGGAGTCGGGTAGCTGTTTCCCGAGACGAGATCCTGCCCTTCGACATAGTCTCGTCTGGTGATCCTCTGTGCCCGGAGAGTATACCCAGACGATCCCCATAGTTTGGCCAGCATAGCTGGAGATAAAACTCCAACTGCAGACCAACATACAGTATTTACTACTGTATTTATTGAAATAGGACCATACCCATTATCATTCGTGGGTTAGGGTTAGACCAATTAATGAACAGGTACAGAAAATTTCGTTAGAATCGGATAGTTCCCTAATTTTTGGCAAATATTTTAAAACCGGGGCCAGCGATTATTTACTTTCATTTCAGAAAAAAAAAAG